ATTGACGAACATAATGAAACAAAGTAATACAAAAAACGTGCTGTCAAACCTCTAGAAAGAAGAAATTACACCATCTCACCTGTTAAATAATATGTTTGTAGGACAACGCATATACATTGTATAGTGTTTTATGAACATATTAAACAAGGAAGTACATCAAACATTGAGACGAACTAAAACATTCAACACATAATGGCGCTTTAAGCTGTTGATATGGGTGGTCCCAGTATGGTCCATGCTCTTGTGGTGTGACTGGATCAAACTGAGGGTTACCTCTGCCCCTGCTGGTCTACCCTGCAGTATTGAGGAAACCAAAGCAATTCCAAAGAAACCAAACTGAAAAAGGACATTTTCACCTTACCATAAAGCCTACTTTTTTTTTTTTACAACATACAGACACACTTCTCATTTTGTTCAGGAAAAAAACACTTTCCAGAGTCAGACAGGCCTCTAAAGTTGTGTCACTAGATTGTTCAATATAGTGTTCTATATTAACCAATGCAGGTTACTATTAGACAATGATAAATTGACCAAATGGTAAATGGACTTGAGCTTGTATCGCGCTTTTCTAGTCTACTCAAAGCACTTTGTAAACCGCATTTAACATTCTCACACTGATGGCGGAGGCTGCTATGTGAAGTGTCCATGAGTATTAAATAATCCCTTTCAAACACATCGATACACCACTGACGCAGTGGCTGGAGCAATTTGGAGGGCAGTGTCTTTCAAATGGACACTTTGACATATGACTGGGAATCCAACCCACAGCCTCCTGGTTGAGAGACACTCCAGATACCACTACCACAGCTGCCCGCAATGCAGAGTTTTTCTTGCAGGCATAATTGAACCTGTACAGAAATGACTGCCAAACTATCAGAAATATATCTTTAACAGAGTATAATGCTGATGGCTCTTTTTGTTTAGCAGCTGATGTTTTTCACAGTAACATTTCTTTACTGAAGCTTTAGTTTTCTTCCAGTGTTTTCTACACCTGGCTTTGTAATGCTGATTTGGAATGAAGATGCACAGAACATGCCACTGTTTTTTTGTTTGGTGGTTATACCAATTCAATGATAATGTATAAGCTGTATGACCTATAGTGACGGTTTAGTTTCAGTTTTCATCCTGTCTCATCAGCTCAGCGCAACAGAATTGTTAGCACTCTCTTGAGTTCTTCACTCCTGTTGTTTAACATTGAGACTCTATTGCAATTCTTGATCAGATGTTTTCCCCTGTCAGTTGCCCACACACACACACACACACACACACACACACACACACACACACACACACACACACACACACAAACATAAAATACTAAGTGTTAAGTTCTGTGAGAGAGCTGATTGTTCTTTATAGACTCTATATTGGATAATGGGCTTTGATTAACTAGAGTCATCCCATTACATGCCCAACAATGGCTTTTTTATTTTTTATGTATGAAGGATGTCTAGATAAATGAGAGTCTCTGAACAATGAAAATCAATAGAAAACACTGATGCAAACAGAACAGATGACGTCTTTGAAGATCATATCCTAAAGTGTTGATCCCCCAGGGGAGAATGAAGAAATAGAGGTGCTGGAGCTCAGACACAGGCTGTGCTATTATGTATTGTTCTTTAAGAGCAGAGCTTCAATCTGTTGGCAGAGGGTAATTCAGAGGAAACACTGTAGCCTACATAGATAAGGAGAAGTGAGACCGACAGCCACGTGCTATACACACGCTGCATTGTGGTGTACAACACGGGAACACGGTAAGACTGGCAGAACTTTTTCTTTTGGGCTTTTTGACATTATTGTTACAGCTTTAATCTATAAAAGGAAAGCAGAGTTATTACTCTGAAGATTTAGAAATGCACAGATCATATTTACACACTCCTTTAAGTACATATAGGCAATAATAGAGCTAAAACATGCATATATATAGAACCAGAATAACACCTGTAAAATGTTTACATTCATGGTCATGCAGTCATACAATTTGAGGTTCTTGTGGTGATTGTGTGTGGTTAGGTTTGCCTGCTATTAGTCTAACAAGAGGGGAGGTCGTTATGTATGTTCTGTTTTGTTACATGAATGTTCATTCATAATTTCCACACTGCAGACACAAACTATCCGTATTGTAGAACATGAAGTCTTGAACAAGTGCTTTTACTTAAAAAACTTCAGTATATCTCATTTAAAGTTAATAGGCATTATATGGTTAGTACAACAGAAAAAAGTTTGGACAAATGGGATGTTTGTGTTGTGACAGATGATAAGTTTCCCTCCATTTCTCGTCTTGCTGTTATCATTGACTAATGATTTACTTGCAGTCTAAAAAGGACTGTTACGTATTATTTCTGGGCATTGACAAGTAAAACTCCAACTAATTTTATTCTAGCTTTCATGTCCATCAACTAACTCTTTCACTATTATATTGACTTTATATCATATTGAAGGCATATCAATTCATGGGCTTTTACAAAAAGCTGGGGGTTTTTTCAGCATGATAAACTTGGGCCACAATGTCACAGTCAGCATTTATCTATAACCACATATTAACTTCCCTCCAGGGATGCATTTTACACTTTCAGATAAACACTAACTCATATTGTGGGTCCTGGCTGGAATTGGTTTTATTGACAATCTTAATTAATGTCTTTAATCTGAACTCTTAAACCCAGTGTCCATGCTCCTGTTTACAAAATTCTTCCATCCTCTCTTTTTAGGAATGGACGCCTTTTGCTACTTGAAAAATATCACAATGTGCCAAATATCACACATCCATGTTTTAAAAAATAATTCTGCTTAAATATTTTTCCAAATTGTCACGTGATAAAAAGTTCTATGTGGCTAATCGATACTCTGTACATATTTCTCACCCTGATCAGTTTCTCACGAGACCTGCCTCTTGGATCAGGTGCTTGAGCTGATTATGAATGAGAAGTCCCCAAACAGTGCCAGTCTTTTCCTTAACGAGGACTCGGACAAACCCCAACTGCCAGAGAGAGGAGACTTGAAGAGGCGCATACGCAGGGCCATGGAGAAGAGAGCCAGCAGCATAAAGGAGAGGATGGGCTCCATCAGTCGAGAGAGCATCAAAGGTTTCCTGAAGAGGAACCTGTTTGTACTCTTCACCGTTGCTGCAGTGGCTCTAGGTGAGTGAAGAGAGAAGCTGATTGTTGGTTTCACATTCTTTTCTGCAGGACATTCACTGTATTTTCATGGTGGCCATTTTCCTCTTATGTCATGCGTAGGGCGGGAAGCTCAAATGCTGTTGTAGTAATATTCTTTTGAAGGTTGCAAGTCTTAGGCTACATTCACATTTGACTTCTTTTTTCAGAAACGCTGCCTTCAGCACCTTTTGAGCGCTTCTGCGCAAGTGTTCTGTAACCTTAACAACGGGATCTAGCCTACGTTATCGTCTACCAGATAGCTTTCTACTGATAACGTTGGCTGGTAAACTGGCAAATAAAGTGTAACTATTTGCAATGGCTTTGGCGTTTGAGGAGGAGGATGCCCCTGAACAACCAATGTGCCGTTTATGGATGCATGACATCCTCCTCAATAGAGTGTCGCAGGGGGCATTCCGCAACCTGATCCAGGAGCTCCGCTGTACTTACCAGAAAGACCCAAAGATCTGCTGATCTGTTCCCAGATGGACTCCTTTATATGTATGTTGCTGTATCATTTGTGACTCATGACATAGCTATAACTCAGTGTAGTGTGAAACGGCAATCACAAGCTGTTCAACCGGTACTTTCACGTTATCCATCTTGATGGGTGTCTTTTTGGGACATTGGTCAGCTGTCAGAAAGGCCCTTGTATGTAAAAAAGGCGCTGGCAGTTGAAAAAAAGAAGTCAAGTGTGAATACGGCCTTAGTAGAGTATTAGAAAATGTATTGTTTTACTGTTTCAAAATAAAAGCAGAAATAGACAATAGTTAATAATTTTGGGAGGGTTATTGGATTATTTTAAGCTAATACAACATATTTGATAACACAATACCTGACGGACAGCGTTAGCTTTCAGCCCCTTCCTAGCTTACATTACGTTTGCTTTAGGAAGTAAATTTCTAGCTAACCTTATGTTATGTTATGTTGTATCCTTTATCGTAAAACGCTAAAAAATGGTAATTTTAGCTTTCAGGCACTTCTTAGCTTATGGAAAAATAAGCTAACATGATTGAGTGTTAGCTGTTGACTAAAGGGGGGGGGGGGGAAAGGGGTAAGGGGTTATCCAATATGTTGTTGTACTGTATATGGCCAGATGTGTTACTGGATTTCATTGCTCATTGTCAGTTTAAGTGGTGAAAAGGACTTGCAACCTAGAACTCTGCAGCACAACTTTATAACAGCATTAGATAAGCCCACCGTAAGCATGATGTCAGAGTAAAATAACAGCATTTATATTATAGTCAGTTCCCTTTATCTGACTTTTTTCTTTTGTTTGCGTGTGCCAATGTATTCAGGTGTCATCCTAGGCTTTATTTTACGCCCTCACAACCTGTCCCAGAGGGAGATCAAGTACTTTGCCTTTCCAGGGGAACTGCTAATGAGGATGCTTCAGATGCTGGTGCTGCCTCTCATTGTTTCCAGTCTGGTCACAGGTTGGCTTCAAACAAGCAAATACTTCTGAGATGTTTAAGTATAGTAATACTGGTTAGACCCTAAAATGTGAACAAGATCTAAACTTGCTGGAAACTGTTCACAAATGAATCTCCCTTGTGCCAGGTATTTCTTCCTTGGACAGCAAAGCCTCTGGTAAAATGGGTATGCGTGCGGTGGTGTACTACATGGTCACCACCCTGCTGGCTGTCTTCATCGGCATTGTCATTGTGATAATCATCCAACCTGGGAAAGGAAGCAGGGACAGTCCTGTGGCCAAGAGTGGAAACATAGAACCAGTTCAGGCTGCTGATGCTTTCCTGGATCTCATTAGGTACCAATAATGCAGAAACTTTCCTTGACCCTATTATGAAATTGAACACAGGTTTAGCTATTCTATCAGCTATTCTGATATGGTTCAGACACAGCCAAATCATCCACATTTAAAGGAATTGTCAGACACTTTGGAAAATGTAGAGAAAGTCAGATGATGCTGCTGCCAGTCACCAGTTAGCTAGGCTTGGTAGCAGCTATTAGTCTGAGTATACTGGCCTCCCTCTTCGTGCTTGAAGTAGTTTATCCAGCTAGCCAAACAATCAAACATGCTCAGAGAAGACTCTCAGACCGAAAAGTTGCGTTGTCCTTAAGTTTACTGAGGGACATGAATTGACTGTGAAACTGCAACACAAATAGTTACAGAAGTATTAATGAATACAAGCTCTTGAACATAGATTGTCTTACAACCTAAATTACAAAAACTAAGGTAAGTAGAAATACATAGATGTAATCAAACAACAACACTGTACTGTATATCTTACTCTTAAATGTACATGAAAACCTATGTAATTCTGCACATTATCCATGCTAAATCACTAATAAACAGCAGCTAAACAAACAAATTGTTTAATATTCACAAAACAGCATAAAACCTCCGTATATGGTCTTCGATAGCTCCAAAAAGTCCTTCCAGTATACAGACAATGACACTGCATTGTGATCATTTACTCAAAAGCAAAGGTGAAACTTAACTTTGAAATCAAGCCGCATTTATACTCTGTGTCACTAGGCGGCAGTATAACGTCAAATGGCATAGAAACAGTCTTATGGCATAAAAGGCCATGACACTGAGAAATACACACGTTATGTTTATGTACAGATTCAGTGACAAAATATATTATGTTAGATTGTGGACTGAAGGTAAGAAATCTGGATGGAGTCATGCATCTCTCTTAAAGAAATTGTATGCTAAGCTAAGCTATCTGACTGTTGAAGCTTTAGCTTCAATATATTAATTTCCTATCTTTAGTACATTTATAAAAGTGAAATCAGTCTTCTCATATAATGCTTTATAGGAATCTGGCAAGCAATTGCATTTCCCAAAATATCAAACTATCCTTTGAAAAGCTTTGTATATAGGTGAGGACATGAAGAAATTAAAAATTGTAATGCAATAATTGTATCTTATTGAATGACAGATTGCATGGTAATTGACGAAAAATACTAGGATTGCAAAATATATAACCCGTTCAATGATGTTCTGTTCACAAATGTGATAATCTCCCTGTTTTTATCCCAGGAACATGTTTCCTCCCAATCTTGTTGAGGCTTGTTTCAAGCAGGTGAGGTACTTTTTTCCTACCAGTCATGTTAAAGTGATTTAAAAGTGATTATTTGATATAACATAACAACGTTTTTATTTAATATACTGTTACTATCATCATTAATCTCCAGACATAAGTCAACCAAGCTCAAAGAAAACACATCAAAGACAAATAAAGAGAAAAACCAACACATTTTCTCAGCATGAAATCACATTCACTCCATCATATTTCACTGTCAGCAACTTAATTGCTTGAACATAGTCTGTGATTTTTTTTTTTGATTTTCAAACATTCCCTTGCAGTATAAAACTGTGTACAAGAAGACTGTGCACATAAGGAACGTGACAGTTACACTGAATCTCACCGACACTCTCAACGTGACAGACTCTAGCCTCAACATGAACCTCAGCAGAGTGCTGCACACCATACAGGTGGGTAATCTGCATAAAGTACCTCATCAGTAATTGAGAATGCCATCTACTGATTCTTTACACATGTTTTCTATGGCAGGAGACAGTGGAAGAGACTGTACCTATGTCCGGCTCCTCTAGTGGAGTGAACGCTCTGGGTTTGGTGGTTTTCTCCATGTGCTTCGGTCTTGTCATTGGCAACATGAAACAGCAGGGTCAGGCTCTCAGAGACTTCTTTGACTGCCTGAATGAAGCCATCATGAGGCTAGTGGCCATCATCATCTGGTTAGTAAAAACACCTGTAACCTTCTGATCTTTATATTGAGAATGCATCACCTGTCAGTTGCTCAGTCTTCCTTAAATATAATCATCTCACCCTTCAGGTATGCTCCAGTGGGCATCCTGTTCCTGATTGCAGGGAAGATTGTAGAGATGAAGGATCTGGCACAGGTGGGAGGCCAGCTTGGGATGTACACTGTGTCGGTCATTGTGGGTCTTCTCATCCATGGTCTTTTTGTACTGCCATTACTCTTCTTCCTGGTGACCAGGAAAAACCCCTACAGCTTCATTGGTGGCCTGCTACAGGCGCTCATCACTGCTTTTGGAACTTCATCTAGGTAAGTATAATCCCTGGATACTGACAGATATGTACCTTAATGTCTGTGCTTCATCAAGTACTGTACTTTTAGGGTATGTTTTATGTGTCAATGCATGGAGACATATCATAAATACTGGAGCCAATGTCACCAGAACATGTCACACTACAGTTTAGATCTATAAGAATGAATACTACTGTGCTTACAGTTTGAGATACAAAATTACACTCAATTTGTTACGCACAGCATATTGGGCCTAACCATTGAAACATTAAAGATACCATACAACACAACACTATACACTGAGATGAGCTATTGTACGATAAGATTCAGCATGAAAACATAGGATACAACACAAAAGTTAAGGTAAGATATGATACAAAACTATCTGGTTCAATGTGATAAGAAATGATAAGTACTGTAGGATACAATACAATTTGATCCAATAAGATGCAATATGATATGACATTTTCTCAAAAAATATTATGATATAATCAGATTTGATACATTACAATGGGAAACAAGTCAAAACATGATAAGATATGACAAGATACAATATGATAGGATAAGATATATGATACAAAATGATATTTTATGATACCGCAACATACCATACCAAATGATGCCATACCATACATTGGGACGCGAAACGATACGATTCTACTAAAGGTTGGAAATTAAATTGAGAGTGAATTGTGTTTTTCGTACTTTGTGGGCACTAAATATCTCCTTCATACTGCAGCTCTGCTACACTGCCCATTACCTTCCGCTGTCTAGAAGAGAACAACCGTGTGGACAAAAGAGTGACACGTTTTGTCCTCCCTGTGGGAGCAACCATCAACATGGATGGAACTGCTCTCTATGAGGCTGTGGCAGCCATTTTCATCGCCCAAGTCAATGACATGGACCTAAACTTCGGCCAGATTCTCACCATAAGGTAATCCAACTTGAGTGTTGTTAGTTTTTTCTTTGAGCAATAAAAACAGATACTGTGCATTACATCTGACCAGCCTTCTCTTAAAGGGGAAAATCCCCGATTCATGCTTAAAGCTGTGCTACCACATGTAAAAAAACGTATTATGAGTCCCTTTTCTTTGCTCAAGAGGACGTTTTTCTTAAATCTGATAAATTGCTTCTGTGCCCTTTGGGGAGGAAGATAACAAGTCTGAAAATGATAAACATTAAGAGGAGTTGTGAAAAAGTCAGCTCACCAGACTTCCTCCACTTTGCTTGTGGCTAGCCAGTATTTTGTTTCTATCAGGTCACCAAATTCATAGTTGTAAAATTCCTCATTTTCTTTTGTTACGCTACTACTCCCACCAGGAGTGCAAGTTTATTTGTTTTTTTTTATTAAATGCCTTCTCTCTCCTCTCCATCCCTCCCACCACCCACTCAGTATCACGGCAACCGCTGCCAGCATCGGAGCAGCAGGCATCCCTCAGGCTGGCCTGGTTACCATGGTGATCGTATTGACATCGGTGGGACTGCCCACAGAGGACATAACACTGATCATTGCTGTGGATTGGTTCTTGTGAGTTTCCACTAAATATCAGCTTGATGGGGATTGGTCTGTGTGCAGCCTAAATGTCATTGTTAAGCTTCAGAGCGCCCAGAGGTCCCTCTTCTACAAAGGTTGATGATGCATAATGCAGAGCGACAGATTAGAAAGACACTGCATTATTTATATGTGTACAATAATATTTAACCTCTATTACCAGTCATGCTGTTAAACCCCTTTTTTTGCCTTATATCTGATTCTTCCTCTTTGCTCTCCCCAGGGACCGTTTGCGTACCACCACCAATGTGCTGGGTGACTCGCTAGGGGCTGGCATAGTGGAGCACCTTTCCCGAGGAGAACTGCATTGTCAGGATGCTGAGGTTTGCAACTCTGTACTTGAGGAGAACGAGAAGCCCTACCAGCTTATCTGCCAGGAAAATGATTCACACAATCACCACAACACTGAGACTATAATGTAAGACCCTTGGGGATTCACTTACAACGAACATTTAGCTAGAAGGTTGGCTGTACGTGAAAGTCTTAGGAAATAATAGTTCTTGGTCAACTCAGACAGTGTTTGGGATGTCCAGAGCCATGTTTCTGGCCGTTTAATGACAGACAAAAAGTACACGAGCTGTCTTGTAGGAACAGTATCAATCCTACACCTACAATCTGATTCAGTGTTTCTGCCTAGAGTTCCAGTTATTTCGGGGGCATTTTGCTGGTTTGTAACTGTCTATTTCAGTGTCAGGCAAGATAATTATGTCAAAAACTGTTGAAAGTATTTTTCATAGTCTTCAGCTTCATTGTGTTTTCAAAATCTTCTATTATTATTGATCCATACAGAGAGCCTCATAAACTCCTAACCAGCACTAGTGTTAAAATACACAGACACCACCATTCATAAAAAAAAAGGAAACAACAGATTTTCTCCTCTTGTGAATAGTTTAATCACACAAAACTTTGCATTTTCTGTTGCATCATTTTCTCTTCCATAAACACTCATGTTTGTGAGTATCGCCGTGACTACCTCTAATAGGATTTAGAGGTTATATATGGATCTTCTACAGCAACCACATGAAACACACTGAAGCATATCAGCAAGTTGTAAATACATCAGTCTTATAATAGTTTTTCTTGTTATTTAAGTTTGCTTGCACAATGTTGTCATAAAACTTTGAATGTACCTGACTGTTAAACACTCAAGAAGTGTGCTAAAGAGAATATTTGCTACCTGTTATTCTTTAGTTTAAAAAGTTTTTTTTGTAACTATTTGTTTTGTATTTCAAGTGACTGGTTAGATTGGTAGAGTTTTCTTTTGGGGGGGGGGAGTAATGCTTTAAACATGTAGGACTGTTCTGCTACAAAGTAATGCCACAGGAAGAGCTGCAGTGATACTCGTTCTTTTTCCTTTAATCAACACAAATATTCAGATTCTTAAAGGCAGAAGTATCCTCAAAAACAATGACTGATTTTAATTCATTTTTAGTTAAAAGTTCACCTTTTTCTTTTTGAGTTTGATCAATCTTGCATTTGATTATTTGTAAGATGCCTTTCTTTTGAAGTATAACTGTAGTGTCAAGACTAATAGAGAACCTTTTGTTTTTGATCACAGAGAATGCTTTGTATAAGTTTACCCATACATCTGCCTGTATTTTTATTATTATCATTATTGTGGTTCTATTTTGACTTGAATAATATATTGCAAGCTAATGACTGATTAATTTAGTATTGTTTTGTGTAGAGCTACTGTGAAGAACGTTTGTAAATGCCTTGAGAAATTGAATGTACATTTAAATTGTTGCTGTTGATTGTTTTAGAGGAAGTGTAGTTTAGTATTATCAAAGTGAAAAGTTACCATTTAACTAAAAGCTCTTCTAATTTTGTTTGACTGTAATGCTCATTAAGGGTTTTGCTTTGGTTTTAATGCTTGGTGTTATTTTAGTAAAAAAAGCTCAACATTTTGATGGACAGCTTCTATAAAATGTGACAAATAAATGGCTCAGGAATTAAAGTGTGATTCTCATTACTGTGTTTGTGGCTACCCCTGGTGGAGGATATTCTCCTTTCAGGAAGCTGTTCTCCTTTGAAAGACACATGAGACATATGTAATATGAGCCAACAGTTTCAAGCTTACAATTAACCTTGTTTGCTTCTGTTTGCATATAAAAACTTGTAAAAACTTTCTGTTGTGGTCAAGGAAGCCCATAAGGGGGGAAAAGGGGGAAGACTTTCTGGGTCGTATGGGGGGTCCAATTCAGGTTAAGGAAAACATTGTCCATCCAAAATTTAAGCAATGACAACCATTTTTTAGTCAATTAATAATCACAACAAAAAAAATCTTTATTTATTGTTACCTGTGTCAAAATGTCAAGCTCTTCTTAAAATTGAATGAGTCTGAGCCATTTTTATGTTTGCAATGTTAATGTAATTAAACTTAAATGCTGGGACCTGCACAACAGTCAGGATACCAGAAAAGAAAGGAGGTTAATTTAGCCGCAACACAAACTTGTTGACAAGCTTTTCTTCAGTCCGCTCAATGTGCTGATTGGAGGAAGGCTAAGAAGGCAAATGTTTGCCAGGCAGCTAGCGCATTTTATCCAACAGGCATGTATTGATATTTTTAATGATACCTGCAGAATGGCCTGTTAGGGGCCCATCCATTTCTTTGGGCTGGCCTGGCTGTAATTGTCAAATCTTAACCAGCAAGGTCTCAATGACTGAACTGAATAACACGTTGTGTTGTCTTCATTCATATCATGTAGATAATACAAAATTCATGCGGTTCCTTAGCGCTAATAAACAAGTGTGTAGATCTGGCCCTGTGGGCCATGTTCCACCACGGTGGAACTCGGTAGTTAAAAGCTAACTGATGTTGACTGCTAACTCGAAGTTTCATCGTGCTAAAATAATCACACAGACAATGCTAACATGACATGTTTGAGATGTAATTAAACATGTCTTTAAATCAAAATGGTTACCATTATTGCTTAGTTACATATGGCAGCATGCTAAATTAAGCTAGTTAGCACTAGCAGCTGAGGCTAACAGGCATGTCACTAGTTGTAGGCCTACATGGTTTAAACCAAACTTGTCGTTGTAATTGTGGCATAGTAAGAGGAAAAATTGATGAATCATAAAACTGTTTCATTTTTTAGAAGAACATGAACATCTTTACATAACTTAATGGCAATCAATCCAATTGTTGTTGAGATATTTTAAGGGCCTGAGTAAAAAGCCTAAGACACAGCTGTCCCTGAAGCCATGGATGCTGCTAACATGAGTAAAGTCAGTGTATTGTGAGGTAAATAAGAAACCCACACAGGGGCACAGAATACAAAAAAAGACAGTATAAAACTATTCTTTCAGATTATTTTATAAAATTCACATATAATGCATTCTTTTACAATACTTTTGTGTTTCATACACAATTGAGCCCTCCGAGTTTTAACAGCTTTGCCATTTGATGAATCGACTCATGAATACTTTGGCATAGTTTGGTGACAGACTACTAATGAAAAAGAAACATGTAAACTGCAAATGTGTAGATCTTCTGGTGGATACCTGAGGATCTCTTATTTAAAGATTAACATGAGTTTCATACTGAGATTACAAACAGTCAATAGGCAGGGTAGACAAAATATCAGGAACAATTGCTTACTAAAAAGGTGAAATCTTCCCTTTGATCCCACTTTTCACCTGTCTAACAGTCAGATATATCAGGTAAAAGTCTGCACTGTGTGCAGTGTCAGTACACATCACTGAAAATATACAAGTCACACATAAGCATATCATGGAGTATGCTGTTATACAATAGAAATATCACTGCTCGGTATGATTTGTTTTATAACACCTTTTTCACTGATTGTACATCAGCCACGAGAAGTAATATTATTGTAGAGAGAGACACTTCCAGGCAGACTGGCAAATAACAGTATGAGCCATTCAATAAAAAAGAAACAATTCTGCTTATCTTACAAGTTAATACTCCTCAGTTTCTGCCATCTGTTTGGGAATATTTCAAGCACGATTTTTGTTTAAATATCAAAAGCCATTTAAATATGTATTGCTGCCCAGGTCTGGTCCATGGGAGACAGTTAGTGTAGATAGAGAGAGACACGAGACGACTGGAGAGTCAGCAAAGCTCCGCCATGGAAAGATGACGAACTGCTGAAAGTTTACTTGGCCTGTAGAGAAGAATGCAAACATTTTAAGAGATTATTTATCATGAATTATACACTAATCACTGAACTTGCTTGGGATACCAGAAATTGAACAAAAACTTACTTATGACTATGAGACCTCGACTTTTGGATTGTTCTCCATCACTCCACATTGAAAACAGCCCAGTTATCTTTCTTGTCCTATTGATGATAGAGAACATCCATTAATGTCTCAAGTCTCAAATAAAATAAAAACACAAATCAATTTGTGAATATTTGACCTAATACATTTGATTTCATTACATTCGATTATATGACCGTTAATAAGTATTATCTTGATGTGATGTTACAACGCCATAAAGGAGTAGTTGTTTCTGACCTCTGACATGACGGGCAGGTTGTCATGAGGAAGAAGCCACATGGTTCGGTGGGCCTTGGTTCTCTGTCTCTGCAAAAGCTTTCTCAGCAACCTCTTCACCTTCCGATCTCTTGGGTCTGCACATTTCACCGCCTTTTTCGTGTACAGACTATAAAAAGATCACAATACTTGTTACATATCATGGCAGGTGCTATGGAGTAACATGAGAGAAACCCCAGAAGTTTTGAATAAAAACATTGACAGAAATAATTATTTAACAATAAGTATTAAGGATTTAAGGATTAAAAAGATGTCTGTCAGGTTGTAGTAAATACTGAGAGCATTTGAGCCCCAGGGAATCCTAAAGAAGACATTCTGGAAATAGAGTCAGATATTTTTCTCTGTCAAAAAGACAGTACTGCTTTTTCTGTTTGCCAAACTGTGAACAAAAGTAAGGAATGTTGGAGGGGGGCTGGAAACCATTGAAGTACAGAGCACTTAAAGAAACTATTCAAACTTCTGTGTAGGAATTCTCTGTTTTTGTTAACTGGACCACATGAAAAAGCTCCTCAAGCGACATCTGATTTCCCTGACCTGCTGGAAACAATAGGTATCACAATGCAGAATGGTTTACTTAACTAAACCCTGCTGTTCTGACTGACTGGCTGAGGCAGGGCTCAGCTGGCTCGGGAGGTATTTTCAGATGGCTTGTTATTCCCACATATTTCCTTTCTTACTTCCCTGGCAATTACAGCTCCGAGCCCTGCCATAACAACATGACCTGGAAAGATGACAATGCCTCTTAGCCCGGCTCTGCCCTCCTCTAACGAGAGGCATATTTTCCATGCCTGCAGATTGCTATGTGCTCTTTAGCTCCAGGAGTGGATAGTTGAAATACTTGCATGATGGCTTGTATACTGCAGTCGGGCCCCTCTGTCTGTACCTCAAACCGCAACACATCTTTGGTACGCACCTTGCCCTGGGAGTACAACATGCAGCACTGGACATCTCTTTGCATCTGCACGCCTTTACCTGGGACAAAAAGAAAAGAAAAGGGTGGGAAGTTAAATGACAGAGTAATACCAAGACCCTTTTTATGTCAAGCTCACTTCATTATGTTGGCTTTAAGCTTTGTTTTACCAGGTTATGTCAGAGTATAACTGTTTTTAAGTGTGAACAGCAAACTGCAGCCCCAAAGTCCTAAACAGAACGCATGGTTACAAATAATTAAAAATAGGTTTATGGGTTTTCTGCACATAATCCTTATTTTTTAAGACTGCAGTCTATAATTTAATGTTTGAAGGACCGAAACAGTCTTTGGCAGATTTTGCACACAGCAAAATATTATCTGTTCTGCAGGATGTGCACATGCCCTCTTTATACACACACTAACATATGGACACACATGTACACTCATGAATGTCAAAGCAATTACAATGATATCCCATTGTGCTGCAAAACATACACGCATGGCAGGGAAATGAGACAGAGAAAGTGAGAGAAAGAGGGGAGGAGTGTGTGTTTGTGTGGAGGGTGTGCCATGATGCCTTTTCATCCAAAGCAAATGTGTAAACAAATTAAAGTGTGAAGGAAGCAGCAGGAGCTCTAAAATAGGACAGTGCTGCTTTGTTATGCCACAGATGATTTTGAATCCATCCTCAGGCACATCAACGCACTTCAAGTGCTTTCACAACATTTCATTTAACAGAGAAGACGACACACTGTACAGACTGAGCCCTGACACAGTTGCTTCTTTTTTTTTTTTTGAGTGTTGTGTGATTTCAGATGCTTGTCCTCCTGCCCCTGTGTTTACATCCATGCCTCCATCCCTGCTGCTCCTGCTGCATGCTGCTACCCCTCTTTCCCTCTTCTCTCCTTTTCTGTCTTCGCCATCGCTCTCTTTGCTACACTGTCCACCTGCAGGGTGCATGCACACCATGCAACACACACATAAACACAAACATAGTAAGTAAGGTTGTGTCCTACCTTCCACAGATGCCAGGAGAATAACAGTCAGAGAGATAACAGTCAACATCTGCAGCATGAACATGATGAGGCTGGCAGAGAGGAGGAGAGGAGGATAATCTACTCTGTCACCTCTCCCTCTATGGCTGCCTCTCTTATATTACTCCCTCCCTCTCTTTATACCTCCCTTCCCATCTCTCACTCACTCACTCACTTCCACCACCTCTTTTTCTGTCTCACCGTCTTTCCCTCCCACCCTCTGCTTATCCACTCTCAGTCATTTCTCCTCCTTTCACACTCATCTCACCTCTCACTTATTTCTCCTTTCCTTTCTCTTCACCCAGGGTGCCAAGCCTCATTTATCTCATTTAACATCCTTTAAATTCCTCCGTTGCCCTGCCTATTCGCTTGCTGGCAGTGTATTTTCCCCTTCATGTCTGAAACATTTATTTGGTGAAATGAAAGAAGAATTAGCTGTAAGAACTTATGTTACATGATCAGACCTGGATTTCAAATGGCACAAAAATCATCCATTTCCAAATAATAACTAATTAACCCTGGTTTGCAGCTGTATCATGTAGTTGTGGAAACTCTTAGATGGAACTAAAGGCATGTCTGACTTGTGCATTTAGATCAGTGGCTGCAGAGTTATGTTTTCTGTGGGATTCCAGACAAGCACACATAGAAGTTGCCATAAACTGAATGTATAACTTAACGCCAAATGAAAACATGTATACATGATCCATATTTTAAAAGTTGTTTATATCAGAGATTAGATGTTCAATATATCTTAGTCTTTTACCATATCAAACTCCACTTGTGAAAGCAGTTTTGCTTCAGAGAAATAGTGTTGCATCTTGAAAAATATTTAAAGCTTTTATTTGGCTTTTTCTTGTTTTGATGCTATATATGTTATTGCTATTTAGGTTGTTGTTTTTTTTCTTAAATTGTGTAATTTACTGAAAAGTGCTGCTTGTAATGTGTGTTATATGTGCGCTTTTTAAAAAAATGCACTTTGTAAGTGGTGTTCCACAGGGTTCGGTTCTCTGTCTCCTAATGTTTCCAGTTTGTGTGCTACTACTAGTTAACCTTATGATCAAACATTGTTTCTTTCTATGCCGTTTACCCATCTCTGTATGTTCAATTTTAAACCTCACAATGTAACATTTCTTAGGCCAATGTTACATTTTCCCCAATAACAAATGTTACACATTATTCTCCATATGACTTAATAATAAAAATCTTACATTCTTTTTTAACAAAGGTGTCTACAATGTACAGAAGAAACATAAAAGTCCAGCAGCTAATAGTGAAAGAAGTTCATGGACATTATTTGATTTCATTCTTTGTTTTCTTTCTTTTTTAAAAACATTTTTTTAGGCTTGGCTCATGCAAGTGCAGAAATGGCAGCAAGTAAATGTAATATATTTGGCCAATTAAATGATTCAGATGTTTGAAAAAGGTTTCCTTTATATGTTTTTCAGCCTTTCCTGTCCGGCACATAAATCATAATAAAAATTGTAATTTAGTTTCCATAACTGAACACCACAAGAATAAGCTGGAGGCTCTGAGAGTCAATCATTTACATCCATTACGGAGAGAGTTTCAACAGAAAACCGCATCAGGACCTGATTATGCAAAGAGAGAGAAAAAAACGAGAAATTGATGAAGGCCTGCATCTGTTTCAGAAAGATATTCCTTTGATCTGACCTTGTGGAAGAAAAAAAAATGACAAAAGTTCCAGTCAGATGATCCTTCCAAATAAAAAAGTGTTTAAACTAATCAATCATGGCCTGATTAAGTGTGACAGATACACACATTTTGCCACATCTCATTGTTCATATATAAAACTCACAAAGCTCTCAATGTGCCTCGAAGATTTATAACTATCATAAATTTAAATTAAATGTTTTTTGGTTTTTTTCTATAAAGAAGTTGTTTTTTTTGGCATGTCTGTTATAAATTATATGATAAAAGAAAACATCATATAGCTTTTCTAGTCTTCCGACTACTCAAAGCACTTTTACACTGCATGTCACACCCACCCATTCACACCCATGGTAGTAGTTGCTATGTAGTATCATCCATCAGAAGTGAGCCACAGCTCTACTAATCCATTCAGACTTACTTTGAAATGTATTTAATATCTTTGACTGAGTTTCAGACCATGTCTATAGAGTATATACTCATCTTAATAGGCCCCAAAGTAATGGTTAGTTCAAACCAGCAGTACCAACATTGTTAATTACTTCACATTCTGAGATATTCACATGGGCAGTTGTAATTAGAGGTTCTTAGCACTTTCTTATTCAGTCTGTTAATGGCTTAGTAAATCTTAAAATATGACATTTTGGCTTTGATTGGGCTGAATTAAAGACATTTTCATATAATATTAAGGTATTAATGTTTTTCTTTCTGGAACAAAGGAGAGAGATTACAGGAGAATTGCATGCAACAAAGGCAAACGTCTTCATCACCTTCAATCAAAAGGTCTTCATGTCAAACCAGAACACCAATCTTTTTTTAATAAGAGAAATCATGCTCATATCTCCTGTTTTTTTAGGTGTAATTTGGGTTATTATGTTTTGACTTCGACGACATATTGCAAGTTTGTTCAGATCTATTTCCCTCTTTCGTTGTTAAGTTTGTGTAAGTCTGCCCAGATTGACAACTAATAGGCATTCTTGAATGTCCACAAAGCTGTTTGAATGTCTGCATTTGATTCAGACTGAGGCTGGGTGGGGAATTTTTATTTTCCCTTAAGTTATTTCTGCTGGACTGACACCAAAGACAAACTCTTAGTTGATGGTTTAGTAGGACAGCTCTCTGACATGGATTCAGGTTATTTCCAACTTGAACCACAATAAATCACAAAAGTGATAGTTTCAAAAATGAAACATATTTTAGTCCTACAAGACAGTCTCACTGTACTGTCATTATTCAGCTTGCAGACTGTATGATGAAGAAAAATGGTGTTTAAGTGTTCCCAATGTGAAAAACACATAAACTAGGTCTAGAAATAAAAACAATACATCACACTTCATCAGTCCAAATCATTTGGAAATGCTCTACTTTGAAGAAAAAATAATCTAAATTATACTAACGTTTAGTACATTGGCAGAGCATTTCTGAACCAATGAGTCACCTCTCATGCAGGAAAACATTGCTTGAGACAATAATGTAGGACTTTTTATAGACACATTTTTATTCTAGTGGATCCATACAGGCCTGCATTTCATGTGTCTCAGCAGATTTGATGTGTGCAAATGACCTTTTGCTCCTGAAACACTGGATGTAAGAACTATGAAATATTTAGACAATAAGGCAACAATATGTCCCGTTCGGAAATACACATGCGAAACCTGGATGTGAAAATATGTTGTCAGTGTACTGAGGGAGAGGTTTTTGGGAAGAATTGTGTGTGAGAGTGTGCGTATGAGTGTGTGAGTGTTTAAGTGTGTGTGTGTGTGGTTTTCTGTTCAAGAAATTGACCCAAGAAGTCAGGTTGGAATGTCAGCTGCATAAACATACCTTTCACATGACTACAGGTCGGCTTGTGAGCCTGATACATTTTCTGCATATCTTTGCTGTGATTAAAGTATCTTCTGTCAAGGTGTATGCGCTAACAAACATGTGGGCAATCAAAAATAAAAGCAACTGAAATAAATAGTGGTGCTGGAGGGGTGATGTCTTCTACTTCGGAGGGGTTGGAGAGCGTGAGATGTGTGGAGGGATAGTAAGGCCTCCTGGAGATGTTAGAGGGCTCAGCTCACTGCACTGAACATGCAGTACAAGAGATCTTGTCCCTGAAAGGATTTATAAGGGATACAATGCGGGGGGGGGGGGAATACTTTAACTAATCTTAGAATCTTAGAAACAGGGCAAAGGGAGGTGTAAGAAACTGACTGGAATGCAGGTCTGAAATGTTTGAATTTTTTTCTGTGCTCAAAGCATGGACATGATGTGGTAATCTATCTTGGCCTTAACAAATAGTTATTCAAAATTACAGGAGAAGGTTGTGTTAATACAGTAACTTCCTGTAGTTATATAAACAAACCAGATACAAGTTAAGCTGGGTTAGTAAAGTAATTACAAACATTTCTTTGGCCTGGCCCTGCAGATGAGTATGACTTGTATGAAAAAAAAAAAGTCCATTGATTGATTTTATTAATCAGATGTGTCGACAAATATTTGATGAGTGTTATGAAATTTGGTACAGACTTCTAAATCACACTGTAAAGTAATTTCTATAAAATTGGTGATCCCTTACCTTTACATACAGCGCCATCACCAGGTCAAAGTAGTACGTTGTTCAGTTTCTTAAGTTTATGACCAAATACCCGCAAAACAAGAAATATTCCATCAGCCTAAATTCTTCTTCTGTTTAATGCTGATTAGCCCATCTGAACAAGTTTACTTGTAAATCTAAGATTGTGAACATGTTTCAGATCATACCTGCAAATGTTTATTATTGCAACTGTGACCATGTTTCAGCACGCTGTCATGAGCAATTAGCTCAACGCACTGCTTATGCTTAACAGGCTGGAGTTCCGCAAAGTAGCGTGGCTGTAAACTGGGTCTTATCTAACCTTTGGACAGGGTCAGGCCTGTCTTCATGCTAGACTACAGTCATGTAATCCCTCTTTCGTAAGTGCTATTAATCCTTTAATTCAACTCTTAACATGAAAGCAAAAAACTTACAGAACAATCACACTGACTTACTCATATACATGTAGATCATTTTGATGTTGACTTATTGTATATTTCTTTCCATTTAACATTGTGGTATATGGAATACTTGTTTTTCTATATTGAACAAATATTTAAATAGTTTGAATTATGATGCTTAGGCCAATTTTTCATTGAAAATAAGTTCCTTCTTTAAGAAGTTTAATCATTTGTTTATCTTTGAGGGTCTTAAAGAAGAGTGTTCACAATTTGCACTGACCTGGACCTGCTTGTACTTAATCTAGAGGTTCCTGATTTTACTCTGAAACAAAAATATTCAAATACAAATCCAGAGGATAAAAGTTTATTCTCTCAGCTTGCCATCTTTCAATCAATATTTAAGACCAGCCTAGTTCATGTCCTGTTCAGCACAGGAGGAGGAGGCCCTACATCTTTTCACATGAGATTTTATTAATGGAATTTCTTTATTGACTGTGGAAATAAAACGAT